AAGTTCGACAAGAAAGCTGATGAAGGGATCTTTCTGGGCTATTCTCAAACTACCAAGGCCTACAGAGTCTACATTAAAAGGACAAGAATAGTCGAAAGCATCAATGTGTCCTTTGATGATTCCACATCCATGACTTCTGAACACAATAGTTCAGGACTCGGACTTCAAAGGAGAGCATCTGATTCATCACTTGGCAAACCCAATGAAACAGAGTTAGCTCAATTATTTGAAGACATCTTCGACGAAGAAGTAATCTCTGGACATGCACAAAAGGCAAAATCTATCTCCAGAACCGATGATGAATATGAAGTCTCCAATGCTAAAGGTACAACTCTTACTGAAACTCATGTTACTTCATCTTGTACTTCTTCTGTGTCTTCAGATCAAGATCAAGAACCAACATCTAACTCTGGAGATGATCTCTTCAAGGGGGAGCAAGCAGTCCCATCAGTCGATGAAGAACTGCATCCTGTTGCTCCAGAACCCCAATCAAGCACCAAATGTGTTAGACCCCATAATTTATAAGTGTAAAAGTAATGAAGAACAATAAGTGATGAAGAACCAGAAGACCGATGAAGACATGAAGGCATAATTGACCAAGTATGGAGAAGAACCAGATGGTCGATGAACAAGCACAGATGCGATGGAAATAGCATCTTCATCAACCCTCTGGTCAACAACACTTAGAGTTTTCTTGAACAATTCAACAAGAGGCATACGATGAGGATATGAAGATAAGGTTGAATCATTATCCCATGAAAGACAGTTGGAGATGACAAATCGACAGTTGGATTTCAAGTTTATCTTAATTTATAGCTTATCCATAGTTTAGATGAACTTTATCTGTTAGTAGAAGATTAGCTTAATAGTCTCACTAGATAGTTATCTTCTAATTAGCCTTCTACTATAAATAGGTGATTAGGCCTATTGTTAAAAAAGTCGCTTTTACGTTTTTCATATTGAATAAAGTGAAATCATTGGCACTCAAGATTATCCTTTGAATGTTCATACATTGTTCTTGAGTGTTCATCGTTTTGTTCATTAAAACACTATAATTTGGTTATTCTTAACTCGATTATTAGTGTTATTGAGAGATCTGGGAACAACAATTGGTATCAGAGCCAATTGATTGTTTCTCCAATCAAACGATCATCCAAAATCTCTCAATTCACGTTTTTCATAAAATATCTTCACCAAATAAAACGTAAATTTTCTCTCTTCTGAAATTCTTCAATGGCCAACTGGAATTCTGCATATTGTGTTGGCTCGCTCACCAAGCCTCTAACTCTTCAACTTGAAGAGTATCCACAATGGAGGATGAGGATGGTAAACTTCTTGGAAGGAATGGACAGGAACCTACTGCGATCTGTAATGGAGGGTCCTTACGTTCCACAAACTCTTGTCCCAAGAGTCCTAGGAACAAATACCACGGCTGAAATCCCTGCCTACTACATGCCCAAGGATG